CCTCTAATCGTAGCTGATAAATCCCAGGCCAGAGGCCAGCCTGGTCTATATAAAGAGTTCCTGAACTGCCAAGGAGATATATAGTAAGTTCCAGGATAGCCTGGGCTACAGAGTGATCCTTTTTCAAAACGAAACAAACAAACAAAAAACCCACTAGGGATCAACGCTAAGAAAATATTACAACTACTAGTTTCCTTGAAATCGAAGATCTTCTTCCAAATCCTATTAACATATATCAGAGAAAATAAGATCAAGTGTCCTATTTTAATTATTCCAGTTCTTTAGCTGTACTTACTGATTCAAAAATTGAATTAATTTTCAATTGTGTCATTTAATTAACATCAAGTTGTTTAAAGAAAGAGGCTTAACACATAAAATTGAAAATGTCCAAAAGGATGCCAAAAAATTGAAATGTGATTTCTAAGTATCAAATTTAAAAGTAGAAGATAATTTTAATACTTATGGTATTTTTTTAATAAACATTTTTCATTTTTTGTTTGTTTGTTTTTTGGAGACAGGGTTTCTCTGTGTAGCTTAGGAGTCTATTCTGGAACTCCCTCTGTAGATCAGGTTGGCCTCAAACTCAGAGATCTGCCTGCCTCTGCTAGGATTAAAGGTGTGTGCCACCCCAACCCCCCAAAAAAAAATTTCTGTAAGTACTAACTTTTGTGATATACCTCCTGCTATTTTTGCTTGCATATGAACATGGACCAGCCAAATAAATTTCCTTAAATACCCAATTGTCCACTTTATGAATTGTATTTGTTTTTATAAAAATCTAGTCTGGACCTGGAGATACACCTCAGGAGTTAAAGAGCACTTGTTCTTTCAGAGGACCCAGGTTCAATTCCAGCACTCAGTTGGTAGCTCATGGCTGCCCATAGTTCAGTTTCAGGGGATCCAACACCCTCTGAAGACACCAGGCATGAATGAGGTGCACTTACGTACATGCAGGTAAAAGCAGCCCTATATAAAATAAAATTTTTAAAAAGTCTGTTTGAAAGTTGCTTTTCCTCCAGTAAGCAAACACCTGTGTAACTGTTCTCACAAGAAAATATAATCTAATAACATACTTCATAACAGTGGAATATCAGGGCTATAAACTAAGTTCTTCAAAAGAGAAAGTGTCATTTTTACTAATACAAAACTCACCACACAAAATCTGTACAGTTAAGTTTTTCTACTTTGAATTTACAAGTTCCCAGTGGCAAAATTCAGTCGTGTGTAGGTTTTCATTTCAGTTATTGAATTTATGTATATGTAATTTCTCTTTCTCTCCAATAAACACTTATTCCATGCACAAACATACTTGGGCCAACTAGTGGATAAAGAAACTTGCCATCACCCCTAAAAACTTGAGTTCGATCTGTGGAACCTACAAGATAGGAGAGAACCAACTCTTGAAGGTGTCCTGTGACTTCCTCAATCATCCTGCCCACACACATAAATACTTTTAAATACATAAGAAAATAAAACAAGTCAACTATAACTTTTTAAAGGGGGCCTTTTAGGATCAGCAAAATGACAATTCCAACAAGCAGATTTTGTGTTATACCATCAAGCTTGAGCGGCTTGCCAAATCACCAACAAATCCTGCTTTTAAGGACTCCTTCTATATTCTGGGCATTATAAATACTGGTAAGTTATCCATCTGCGTCTCGATATACAGCACGCATGCACCTCGTGGCTTCCAAAAGTCTTTCACTGCTCTCGGGGTCACGCTAGGAGGTGGCGAGGCAGGAGCACGCAGGGCACCAGGTAGAGCGGGTGACTCGGAACACCACATAGCGCGGACCCACAGGTTCCAAGCCAGGCCCGGGAGGCTCCCGAAAGTAAGCAGCCCTGCCTTCTCAGCGCCCCACCACCTGTGGCTCCCGCAAGCTCCCCACCCCACCTTCTCACGAAAGCGAATGGAGTGCACTTTCCAGCAAGCCCCAGATACTCAGCAACCGTAAAGCTACCCCGCCACCGGACCTCCGCGTCATCTTCTGGCGCCAGTGACGTCACACCAGCGTCGGGGCGTGTCTATGTTGACGGGGCTCAGTCCAGATGCGCCGCATGATCACGAAGGGCGTGGGATCGCGTTTGTATAGCCGCAGATTTGGGCCGTGCCGGCTTAGATCCGCCATACAATACACTCCAGACAACATTCCTACCTGTCTCTCTGTGTGTGCACCATGTGCGTGCAGGTGCGAGCGGATTCCCGGGCGCTAGAGTGACTCGTGGTTGTGAGCCACCACGTGGGCACCGGGAACCGAAAAGAGACCTCTGGAAGGGCAGAAAGCGCTCTTCAGAGCCGAGCCATCCCCAACGAGGTTGAAATTTGAGCTGCAGTCTCCTTGTTCCTAAAGTGGGGGTAAAAAATAGCCCAAAAGGCTGAAGTGAGGATATCACCCCCAAATTGGAGCTAGTCTGAGGTGAACTAGACTAAACCTATTAAATGTGTGTTTCCAAGGGTGGCAGTTATTAGAATAAACGTGAAGGGGGGACAACCGTGGTGAGTTACTGTGCTCCAGCAGAACAAAAAGGAGGAGGGAATTTTGTGTTCCGGATGGGACGTGAGAGCAGGTGATCATCCACCACAGTGCCGGAAAAGGCTGGCCTAGGGGTGTGTCCTAGCTGCTGGAGGACGGAAGCTGCTGTACCAAACCCTGCAAGAAATACTCATTTGGAAACAGCATTTTTCCTGTGTACTGCAGGCATCTCCAAACACCTTGCTAGTGTTTTGCTAACTAGTGTTTTCTAGTTAGCTTTCTGTTGCTGTGATAAAGCATCATAACCAAAAGCAACTTGGGGAACCAATAGTTTATTTCATCATACTCCATTGTTAGACCCCGGAAAACTCAGGTCTCCGGGGTCTCCCCAGATACCAGGCAGATTCGAAAGCTTGCTGCAAACTGCATGAGGCTTTATTGTTTTTTTAAAAAGCTAACCCAGCCGGGCGTTGTTGGCACACGCCTTTAATCCCAGCACTCGGGAGGCAGAGGCAGG